TTGCCTGCTCCATTCTGATGACTGGACTATCGAAGTTTTAACTACCCCAGATTTTGCCCTACATATTTATATCACCACCAGCACGACCCAGGTAGGAATTCCCATGAATGTGAGGACAGTGCCCAAGCACCAAGAGGTCATCAGACGTGCCCTGAGTGGTTCTCACTCATGGACACTGAAGCACAGAAAGTTCTCACCCATGGACACAGAGCAAGCAGAGTTCAAATCACATCTTGAAGCAGCACCTTTACCTACATCTATTGCCAGTTTCTGGGAGGAATATTATATATTGCTCAAACTTAAAACAATATACTATCTGTGTACACACAAATGTTCATGCAAGAGTGACATATCACAGGAATTCATTATATTTTTAGGTATAGCCTGTCCTGTCAAAGATGTACTTGGGTATATTCTCTCCAAAGCTTAATAAAAATGTATACAGGCTGCCTAAAATACCTTACTTGCACTGCAAGATTAATCAAAGCAACCCTTTCCAGGTCCTTTTGTTGCGATCTATTCCGCTGCAACCCAAGAGCCGACGGAATAAGCCCCCATGAGAAAAAGTCATCTTTTTAAGACAGATTCTCCTTTTTTTTTGATCAATCAAATCCTACTCTTTGAATTTAGCAATGTCACTGTCACAAACCAGCTCTGACAGCGGCCAGATGGCAGTTCAAAATGCGCATGGTCTTGGAAAGTGAAGATGCACTTTGAGAGGACTACGTTCACCCGAGTATTATTGTACTACTTCAAAATCAAACTCTGCCTTTGAAAATGTCAAAGGCAACTATTCACGAGCAAACACCATACGGTGTATTTGTCCTCTTCAATTCCTCTCACAATCAATGGGGAAAAAAAATAAAGAAAGAACGCTTCAGACCTGAAATGACTGCATGCCACATTATACAGTGTTCTCACCGCAAGCTCTCCAAAACATTAGATGGTAGCATGAAACTGCTCAAATACACGTTTGTTGGGTTAAAAGGGACAGAAACGAATATTAGCAGCCCAGTCTCCATTTGTAATATTAAGTTGTGGTTTTACTTTGGGATCTGGCTGGGGCTTGCATAGGAAACACTTCCTAGGATGTCCCTAAAGCCATATTTAAAAGTAAGCTGAAGTCGATTTTTTCCATGACTCTAATGGCAAAGCTCTGAAGATCGGGTTAACGCAGCCCTGTTATGGTGTAACAGCTGCTGAATCCCAACATGATTAAAAATAAACTGCAGCAAAAATAGTCACGTATTTGTGACTGGGGAAGAACAATCACCAGGCCAGCAACTCAACTGTCAGAGGCATCATTCTGACATTTAAAGGTTTTTACGAGCAGCTGAGTAGGCGGCTGCATCCTCGTCTCCCAGATGGGTTCCCTGTTCCCCGCTTCTGGCTGGTGGACGGCTGTAGTGGGAGGACAGACCCTTGCTTGGAGGCCACCACGAGCAGCTCCCACAGGTTCAGGGAGGGCGGATTCTTCAAATAAAACACTGTAAAAGGCCGGTCACCACAGCTGGGACCCAGGAAGGCACGTACATACCTTAAAGGCCTAAACTTGAGGTCCTCCTCAGCTTGGAGACACCTGCAGTCCCTCTGCTTCCATCAGTGAGCCCCCTGCATTGTCATTACAGTGCCTCTCCAAGTCACCAAACAGGACCACATCACTCGCTCCGAAGAGATCACATCGAGCTCTCTCCGTCCCTCCTGCCTCTGCTCAGCACAACCCACGCTGGCACACCTCTAAATCCAGGGCATCCATCCACCCCACTGCCACCCGGCCTCAGGGGCCCACCACACTGTCTATGTTATTAACGACAGCGATGCTCCTTCTTTCTTTTTCAAGTAACACACGCAAATTTATTGAGTACCTGATGGTTAACCTCGCACTGAAATGTTTCGTCAAACAACTGCAAGAAGCAGCAGTTGGCAGAAGTTGGTGTGTGGGCGACAAGGTCTAAATGCCCTCCCTGTGACCCTGAGTGCTCAGATGGACTGCACCAGCCAAAGCAAAGCTCGATGAAAAGCCACCCAAGACCAAATAACCTCAGAACGCAAATATTCACGCAATACATGTGCAAATGCAGGTGTCCGTGATCGTTCTTAAAGGTCTTTTCCAACCTAAATGATTCTATGATTTGCAGAAGAAACCTGGATGTGAGTACTGGAATAGACATTTCAAGTCTTATAACAAGCAAAATAATTTCACACTACCAAGCAAGGAAGGCTCAGGCCTTAAATTTTATTGTTGTAGGTGAGAAATAAATCTGGCTTGTGATCGGCTGAGCACACTCAGGTAACAAATTAAAGCTACCCCTCTCGTTCCCCCCTTTCCCAGCACATGACACCGAGGTTTTGGACACCGTTAAGTAACAGCTCAAACTGAGATGGAAAATCCAGAGCAGCAGCAATACACTCCGTTTGCTTCTTGTGAATTTAAGATTACACTTTAATGGTGGGCTCTCAAGCTCCCACTCCTCCTTAGAAGACAATATCCAAAAGCAAAACTGTTCCTTTCATGGCCATAATAAATAGTCCCGTATGTCTCTGGTGAAGACTTTCAGCCCGAATGTAACAACCCACGGAAAATGGCTTCTGGTTTCAGAGGACGTGGCGACTGATGTCCGCCGAGGAAAATGCTGGCCTGGTTTGATCACTGCTGATTTCACAAGTCAGCGTGTCTCCGTGTTTAACCCAACGGTAGCAAATTGTTGCTGAATCTGTCAGAAGAGAGTTTTAAAGGTCAGCTCTCGCCTTGCTGATCTTATCCTTCAGGTTTAAACTCCGTCGGCTCCCAAACATCTAATTTTCAGTTGACACCCCCGGCTGCAGTGTTTGTGCATCTCCCATCAGAGGCTGGGCGTTATCTGCTCCTCTTCTCCTGGGTGGCACCAGGGAGTGATGGGACACAACTGAGGCTGCTGCCGCCTCCTCCTCTCTCGGCACACACTCACTTGAGCGCCGGCAATCCCGTTCCCAGCCTTTGCTGGCCGCTGCCGGGCGCACAGTGAAGCTGAGCAGGACCACGGGTGGTGAGTCATGGGCTGCCGGGGCCGGATTTGGATCCGCTCCACTGCAGGGGCAGCTGCTTTTTCAGCATCTGAATTTCTCCCACCACCGGTCAAAGTGCTGAGCTTTAGTAGAGGTATATCAATAATCTGCAACACACTGGGAACCTACCCTCTGTTTCTCCCTCGTTTCCCCTTTCTAAACCACTGTGGGGGATGTCCAGACTCTCAAAGTAAAGACCAGAGCCCAATGGCTTTGCCTTCCAGATGGCTTCTCCACCCCTGCCCCAGCACTTCCACCCCATCCCATCCATGCAGCCAGCAGCCTTCTCACCTATGCTGCTAATCAGCTGGAGTAACAGCATTTCAATCAGGCTAAGGAGAGATCTTCACAATAAAGAACAAGTTTTGCAGCTTGCAATGCCTTGCACAAGCTCTCCTACAGCTAAGCCCATACCTGATCCCACCAAGAAGAGAAACCAGGGTTAATACAGTAAATGCTGATGTTAGTTATCGTCCGAGTCTCACATGAGTTTTCTTCACATCTCAGAACGTTTCGTAGATTGCTTGTTAAAAGGGTAGAAATAACTCATCTAGGAACAATAGTTAAATATGGACCTTGGAATTACTAAGTACAGTAGCTTCTCTTTCACCAACAGAAGCAGTGCTGCTGTGCTGGAGAGCACAGTGACACTACGGCAAGGGAAGCGGAGATTGGCTTTTTTATGACGCTATTTACAGGTTTTTCCATTTTAAAAACTGCCGAGTTTGATTAAATATAAGTATAGAACATTTCTTCCGTATACAAACTCTCATTAGCTGATTAATTATTAAGGTGCTCAGAAGTATGGATGAAAACAGAAGTCACAGCAGATCAGTTGCGTTGGCGTCTATTTACAAACGGCGCTCGGTTGCCTGCTGACACCAGCGTCTTCCAAAGAAGCTGGAAGCAAAGTGGCCAGTTACGAATCTAGTGCCACAGGAACTGTTGTCTTCTTCACAGCATCTTTGTCAGAAGGTAAAACAGTAGTACTTTCATGCCTTTTTTTTTATTGCAAAGGCAGGTGCCCTTGCTGAGTCTGTGTAGCTGGTGGTGCCAGGTAGCATCACACCGTGAGACACCCTAGCTCTTGACTCCTGCCCAGCCCTTACCACCAGAATTTGCTGGTCTGCTGGGCAGCTGCCCAAGACAGGACTCGCAGCACCAGGTTGTTACACTGAAATGCATCGTATGGGGCCTCCTCAGTATTCGGAGAGCTCAGATCTACCCCGTGCAACCGAAGGGAGAATTTATGTGTGAGAAACCAAACAAGGAGAATGCGCTTAGCAAAAATTTTGTCTTCCAGTGAGAAAAAATAAAACAAAATCCCAAGTGGCCCATATTTGGTAGGTCAAATTCCTTCCCCATTAACATTCTTGAAGAGTTATTTTCTGTCTGATGACCAAACTCTACCTCTAGTTCCATTCTCTGCTGACTGACGGCTGACCACGGACACTGCCTGGCATCGCTTCGCTCCGCCCCACCTGTACTCACACGGGTGCCTCAGAGGAGCTCAAAGTTTGGCGTTTTGGGAACCCATCAAACCAGGAGGGTATCTGACCATAATGAAAATGCTGATTTTGTCCTCATCATTTTAAGATGCTATAGAAAAAGAAAGGAAAAGAAGTTGATTTGACTTCTGTTTGTAAACTTACCATGTACTGTCACCTTTCCCTCGTACATTTAAGTTTCAAACAGGTCCCAGAGATCGCAAGGCAAGAGTGTTAAGGCAGTATAAGGAACTCAGTATTTCATTCACACCTCTTGATTCCCTTAAGGGTATTTCTAAGGCATCAAAAGGGGCATGTGGTTTGTGCTTGCCTTTTCAGAAAAAGGCATTCTGTATAGTGTAAAAAACAGATGCTCAATGACAGACGGAAGCCACTCAGCCCCGGGCAATGGCCACACCATCAGAGAGGAACTGGGAGATACAGCGGGGTTTCCCAGGCGTGGGTTCCTCACCATCGCTCTTTCTGGTACACCTCTGTTTGTACAATCTCACCGGGGTGCTCAGATATGCAGGCCCCGTTGATGTCATTGAGCTTGTTGTCTGGAAGATCCTCGGGTTTTGTGCAAAGTTTCAGTGCCCTGGAGATGAAGACGTCCAAGTCAAACTCAGGGTCTGTTTCACTGTTCACCTCTGTGGGTTCTTTGTGGAGACGGTGAGGAGAAGATGGCAGGCTCCGTTCCTGAATCTCCGGAAGGGGACTGGGACACTCGAGACCCACCTGCGTGCTCTTCACCCACTGAGCAATCTCCAGAAAAAGGTTGGATGGTTCTTCTTCCAGCGATAGCTCAGCTGCGGGTGCTATGGTTGCTCTTTTCCAGTGGGATAAATCTAAAATCAGCTTGGGCTCTGAGTAATGATGGGGCTTATTGTCTCTCCACAGCAATTTGTCCAAGTAGGAAGGTGACCCCACTTTGTAATCACACGATTTCCCACAGTCGGCATCAAATACTCGGTCCATGGATGAGTGGGATAGCTCCAAGAACCTCTCCGAGCTGCTTTGTGAGTATTTCCGTGGATCAACTTGTGCTTCCTCAGCGATGGATTCAGACCCTGCCCGGGGGTCCCGCTGAACCTCATCCATGTCGTGGTATTTATCGTGTCTCCATTCCAAATCGGAGGAGAGGCTTACGTGATACCTGCAAAAGACACGCTGCTATCAGACAGGCAGATGATGGCTTCGTTAGAAACAGCAGGGCTCAAACAGATACGCATGCTGCTGCTGCTATTTTTGCCTTTTTCTTGCTAATATACTGCTCACCTACAGATCTCGAAGTTCTTATTAATATTAGAGAACTTTTTCTTGTCTTAAAAAAGGCAGGAGGGATGAGTAATTTATCAAATGGGACCAGTAGAGGGAAGAAAAGCCCAACAACCAAACCAACTTCATTTAGCCCTTCATCACCTTCCCAACACTTGGGATTAAAATATGATTAACAATATCAATAATCCAGTAAAAAAGATGAACCTAAATCCCCACTGAGATTGAACATCACCAGTTTACTCTGACATCGTGAACCAAGAGCGTCCCTAAAGGGTCACCTTGCTGAGTGATAACTTCTCAAGCCAGTCAAACTCCCTCGATTGCAATTACCTGACAACACCCATTTTTAGAAACGATTCAAATTTAAAACCGGCTCCTAACCGAGCTGCCTTTAAAAGATGTATTATCTCAGGTATTGGGGTGCTCTGTCCCAGCAATGAAACGCTCTTCAGGGGTCCCACAACACAAAGGCAAAATCATTTCCCGCCTCTAAAACACTTGGCTGGTCTTGCAAAATCAACAGCCCTATAGCAAACGACCCCAGCTGGGTGGCAGGACCAACAGTCTGACTCCCAGCTGCCCGCGTCACACCAAGAAATACAAAAGCCAAGGGATAAAAGGGTGACAAGGTGACCTCCGGCAACTGATTTGCTGCTTTGGTGACTGTAACTGGCAGGGATCTCGGCGCTGAGGACAGATAGCCTGAGAAAAGCTCTCGGCTTTCCTCTTCACCTCATTGCTGTCCCCCTCCAGCCTCCACCCTGATACTTGTTCACCCGGGCAAAGAGATTAAGACTAGTGAAGGGAAGGGATTTCTTTAGATTACTTTTTCAATGCTGGTGAAACACAGTGGATTAAGAAGGTGAGGTGATTTAATTGCTATGCGGAGAGGAACAATGCCGCAGAGATCCTCCGCCAGCTCACCCTGCTCAGCTGGAAGGAGCTCTATAGGAAAGTGAACCTGGTAATGCTTACCTGCTTATTGTGTCCCACTGCTCCAGTACTGCGACTGGCCTAGTAATGGGGGTAATACAACATGAGAGATCTCAGCTCAAGGCTGTGATCTGCTCTAAACTTCCTGTATGACTTTCAGCAAACTATTTGAAAGTCAACATGATTATAGAATCTTTTAAAAGGCCCCAGATCTGTAGCCTCTGGGGCTTACGCACCTTGAAAAGTGATAAATATAGAGCTCCACGTCAGGCCCAGTCCCCAAAAGGTACGAAAATTACGTTATTTTAGGACTTGTATTATATGGACAGAGGACAGAGGGAAGAACCGCAGCGTCACTTAAACTGATGTAACTCAAAAGAAGGCAATATAAGCTGTGAATAAAACCACGAGCAGAAAGATACTCAGGAACTGGAACATGCAGGCTCAACATCTGCTCCCTGTGGAAGTCAATGACGAACCTCTCGTTGGCTTCAGCAAGGTGCCAGCTTGGGCTAGAATCACAATACGGGGTTAAAGAAGGAGAAGCAGGTGCGTTTCGTGGGTCTGGAACATGTGTGACTGAACCCAACCAAGAGCAGGTCAGAGACTCACCAGTCAAGTTCTGCCTAAGCCAGTATCTGGTCTCCGGCCCAGCCTTGTGTACCATACCTGTCCCAGTTAGACATCTGACTCTGGTTGGCTTCCATCAGTAAAATATCATCAATCTCATCCTCAATCCGGAATGGATGCTGAGACACCGGTTCATCCTCGGGGCAGGAATACGGACTCATGTAAGGATGCTGCAGACCCATCTCAGCCGTTAATCGATCCATAGGGTTAAATGTCAGTATTTTCTCCAGAAAATCAATAGCTGTGAAGCAGAGAGAAACAAGCTCACTAATTCCTCAAAAGCAATACCAGCTTCCTTTCTAAGATGAATCCCCCATAAGATATCCCCTCAAAGTAAGGAAGGAATTAAAGGTCACATCCCCTGTGCATCTAAAACGGGCACTTCTGTCCTTGCTGCATCCATCTTGCCCCCCACAGGAGCTGTGTGCACGCAGTGGAGCCATCCTGCAGCCCGCAGGTATCACTTCACCTAGCAAGGCAGGACAAATGACTGTCAGAGCATCACACCTCCACTTATACCTGCTGCTGCGATCCTGGGCTGAACCACTAAGCCCATATCCCATGACCCTGATGGTCTCAGGATTTGACTCCATGCTCTCAGATCCATTCGACAAGCACACCGTGTTTCAGACAACTGATTTCACGTCTTTATGTGAAACTGAAGTGGGACTGGATTTAAAGTGCCATTTTTAAAAGTCTTTGGCGTGACCAACACCACGAAATTCTTTTACGCACTAATATTTAAAGAATTCTGAGTGCCTAAAATTGTTTTAGAAAGACTGTGGAGCATGAATCCTTTCTACGGTGATGAAGGAGGAAATTAAGTGCAATTAAAGTGACTAGAATTAAATTTAAACGTAGAGGGTTGGTTGTGATTTCTTTGCTGATTCCTTTTACTGAGGTTATGTGCAAAGATCAAATCCTGTTATTAAAGACGTTGCTTATTCAGTTGATTCTTGGTGCGTGGAAGAGTCCCTCAGAGTTCAGATAACACAAACAGAAACCTGCTTTTCTTCAGTTAGAACTTTTGCAGTTAGAATCTGCAGAAATATCCCCCTTAAGGATTTAATTGTGTGAATGGGACAGCTTCTCTAGGGGCAAAATCACTCAGCAGAAAGGGCGGGCCATACCTATTGCCTCAGTGTTTAAACATTAACCAACATCCGATTGTCTCCCACAAGATTATTTCATTGCTTGGGCTAATTAAGTAGGATGGAATCAATAGCTTCATAAGGTCACCGACTGCGGGCGAGAAGCATGGTGGAACGATATATTACGAGCTATATATTACGATATATTACGGGCCAGAGAGGCAGGAAAATGTCAATGAATCACGTAAGGGGTGCAGGTGACCTTTCTTCCCGGAGTAATGATGGAATAAATCCCTTCCTGCTTGCCGGAGGCTGACACGGTCCCTGGGTGACCCAGGCCGACGGGTATCGCGTTGCCAAGTGGACGTCTTACAATGAAGAGTCACACCAGCGAACGTAAGCTGGGCTTGGAATTGACGTCTTCCCAAAAGCAGGTGGCCAGGTCCACCAGCCTGATTTAAGCCTTGGAAGGAGCTCAGAATTGCTGACGTGCCCTGGTCCACGCTGCTTAACTCTGGCTGCCACCCTGCAAGCTCTCGCTGCCTACAAAGCTGCCCCAAGCACAAGTTCAGGTCCAAAAGCCTGTGGTTTGAAGCACCCCCCACGCCCGCAACAACACCCTGCTGATTTTTCCCAAGCTTTAGCCGAAGGAGGGAAGTGGCTGAAGTGGTATTTGAGCGTTGCAGGACATGAGTGACGTCCAGGCCTCGGAGCACTTGGACAACGTTTCTGCCTGTAGGAACCATCTCACGGAGTTCAGATATTTGTGAAGCAAAAACACTTATTTTCTTGTACTGTACAATTGCGTTCATGCAAAAAGCGCAGCAAGAAAATGAACAGGGCTTGAAAATAACCTCTGGGCTGAACCCTCACAGCTCAAGAAGCGGCACAGGAAGGCAGGGATGCACCTTGAAATCGTCTTGGAATAGTCCTGGAAGACTATTTCACCCTTATTTCTGTATGAGCCACCTGCGAGAAAGCTACTGCATCATGAGTGCTGTCCTGCAGCACGTACCTTCCCCGGTGGGACGGTGAGCAGGACCTGGGGGGACAGCGGTGGGGATGTGTGAGCTACAGGTGGGACCTTGCACTGCAACCCCCCGCCCAGGTATCTGAATCCTGTTCACCAGAGTTCATGCACTTGGCCTTAGAGGATGATTTCCCTCCCGGGGAAACAGGTCTGCAAACACGGCAGCCGTGGGAAGTCCCACAAGAAGGCCGTGGC